ACTTTAAATTTATTTCAAAAATCTAATGTTAAATATTTAACAAGAGTACTAAAATGAAACAAAAATTAAACTTTAGGTGTGGTTTGAAAAATTTGAAAGTTTATGTACTAAAAATGAATCAAAACTGATAGTTTAAGTGTTAAATATTTAGTTTACACTTTATGTTATTAATTTTCATACCGAATTGAGAGAGAGAGAGAGAAAATAACAAAACAAAACAACAACAACAATAACAACAAAACCCTGATTCCCATATGCAATAGGATAAGGGGAAGGTAGGGTAGTAGGCTGACCCCAACGCCAGGTTGAGAGCAACTTCCGTGGAAGACCTCCAGCAGTCAGAAAATTAAAAATAAAGATAAGATGCAAATGCGTGTATAAATAAATAAATAAATACATAGATGAACAGTCTTCATATGCAATCTTGATATGTGCGTCTGTAATGGGGAGTAATCCCTGTAAATAATTCCCTGCAAATAATTCCCTACATAGAAATCTCTGCATATAGACTGAAAATGTAAGACCCAGCTAAATTTAAAAAGAGGAAACATGAATATAAATGATACACAAAAGTCAACAATAGCAAGCTACGAGAAGGAATAAATTCAAATGAGTTAATTCTTAAACTAAGGCAACACTACTCCGATACCCTAGTTCTAAGCCTTCATGCATTTCAATGACAGAAACATGTATAAAGTAGAAGTCATGGAAAGTACTACAAAGACATTAAAAAGAAGACAAAGATGTTACACCCTATGGCTGTGAACCGCACTACTCGACTACCCTGGTCTTAAGTCTCCATACTTTCCTATCAGAGGTCATGTCTTCGGTAAGGGCTAATTCCTTCAAATCAGATCTCAAGCAGTCTTCCCACTTCCGTCTTGGTCGTCCTCTCCTTCTGACACCGTCGACTGTAATCGACTCTACCCTCCTGACTGCATCCGACGGTTGTCGCCTAAGGACATGCCCAAACCATCGTAGTCTTCCCTCCCTCAATTTTTCGGATACAGGCACCACCCCCAAGTACATCCTAATAGCAGAGTTAGGTGTCATGTCCCATAGAGTCCTACCACATGTTCATCGAAGCATTCTCATTTCTGCGGCCTCCATCATCCTTACGTGATCCTTCTTGATTGCCCAACATTCTGATCCATACAGCAGCGCTGTTCTTATTGCCATTCTATAAAATTTTCCCTTTAGTTTTAGAGGCACCTTCTTGTCACATAAAACTCCAATAGCAGCCCTCCACTTTAGCCATCCCTCTTTTATACGGTGTGTAACGTCTTCATCTACACCCCCATCTTTATGTATCATAGACCCTAGGTACTTGAAACAATCATTTGAGGGGATAATGTGTCATTCTATGCATACTTCTACATCTTCATCGTTTTGGTTTCCACTGAAGTTTGAACATACGTAATTAAAAAACAAAACAAAACAAAATGCAAAATTTGAGAGGCCAGTCCTCTAAGCATGGTTTTCAGAACCGGACCGGTTAGCGAACCGGTCATGCTACCAGTTCACTGGTTCAACCGGTCGAACCGGTCCGACCGGTCGGAAGAACCGGACGACGTCATAATTATTTAAAAAATTAAATAAAAATATCAAAAATATTTAATAAAAAATAATTTTTTATATCACAAGTCATATTCAAAGCAAGTCATAACATATATAAGTTAAAAACCATAAAATCAAGTGAACAAAATGATTCAAATTAACTACAACATAATATTTAAGGTAAAACATATTAAATAAATATAATTATATAACTATAATTAAAAAATAAATTTAGGGTTAAAAAAATCATAACAAAATGATATTGTTTGGTTTATTTTTTTTAAAACAATCCCACATGGCTAAGAAACATATAAGAACATCCCAAAAGTCTAAAGAGTAAAAATATGAGAACAAAACAATCTCACATTGCTAAGAAACATAGAAGTGCATCACAACTAACTTCTATAAGAGAAAATAACCTTATTGACCAAAAATGCCTTATAATATACGATTTTAACCAACTTTTTTTGGATTTGCCAAAATGACCAACTAAATCGCAATGCAATCGATAATTCGCAACGCGATCTCCGATATCGCAAATCAGTTTCCAGATTCGCAATGCGAACTTGGACTATCGCAATGCGAACTTGGACTATCGCAATGCGAATATGTAAATCGTAATGCGATAGTCGGCTATCGCAATGCGAATATGTAAATCGCAATGCGATAGTCGGCTATCGCATTACGATTTACATATTCGCATTGCGATAGTCCAAGTTCGCATTGCGATAGTCCAAAATCGCAACGACTGGTGGTATTGCATTTGTTTATTAAGAATTTTCTCTAAAAAGATAGTATTCGCGCAGACGTGTCGAAGACACGTATTACCACGACCACGACCCGACCCGAGACGAGACGAGACGGACGGCGGTGACGGCGGCACGCGAGAGTCCCCCTTGTTCTCTATCACTCAACAAGGAAGTGTGAAAGCCAAACCTTAAATACCATTCCCAATTGTGTTTCCAATACTATGTGGGATTGAGCATTACCAACACTTGTTTCCAATACAATGTGATTATTCAGGAAACAATTAACAATCATGCACCTTAAAACAACTGAATCAGCAACCAATTGCATTAGTATTATACGATTAAATATGTCATAATTAAAAGTCAATCTACAATCAATCGTGATTATTGCAATTTTAAGCAAAACATTCAAAAATAATATCGCTATTTAAGGCTCAATCCCACATAGTATTGGGAACAAGTGTTGGTAATGCTCAATCCCACATAGTATTGGAAATACTATTGGGAATGGTATTTAAGGCTTGGCTTTCCCACTTCCTTGTTGAGTGATAGAGAACAAGGGAGACTCTCGCACGCTGCCGCCGCCGCCGTCCATCTCGTCTCGTCTCGGGTCGTGGTCGTGGTCGTGGTAATACGTGTCTTCGACACGTTCGCACGAATACTATCTTTTTAGAGAAAATTCTTAAGAAACAAATGCAATATCGTCGTTGCGATTTTGGACTATCGCAACGAACTTGGAATAAATCGCAACGCGAACTTCGACTATCGCAACGCGAACTTGGAATAAATCGCAACGAATTTGGAATAAATCGCAACGCGAACTTCAACTATCGCAACGAACTTGGAATAAATCGCAACGCGAACTTGGACTATCGCAATGCGAATATGTAAATCGCAATGCGAATATGTAAATCGCAATGCGAATATGTAAATCGCAATGCGATAGTCGAAGTTCGCGTTGCGAATCTGGAAACTGATTTGCGATATCGGAGATCGCGTTGCGAATTATCGATCGCATTGCGATTTAGTTGGTCATTTTGGCAAATCCAAAAAAAGTTGGTTAAAATCGTATATTATAAGGCATTTTTGGTCACTGAGGTTATTTTCTCATTCTATAAATAATAGAGGTAATTTGACATTCAAAAATATGGAGCCTTTTGGTGAGCATTGAGTGAACTATTCTTTCACTTCAATCAAGCTCGAATTTTAGGATTCAATCGAGCTTCTAATTTTTTTTTTTTAGTTCAAGCCTTTTTGAGTTCAAGTTTCAATATTATATTTCGAGTTTGAGTTGAACTTGATAATTTTTAGTTTGTGAGTTTGAGTTGAGTTGAGCTTACTTTTAAAGTTTTCAAGTTCGAGTCGAGCTCAGCAATACTCGAGTTCGACTTGGCTCGTTTAACAAACGACATTGTTTGGTTTAATTTTTTTTAAAAACAAAAACCAAAAATCTCGTTTTTTCTCGATTTTTCCCGATTTTTTCCGGTTTTCAGCCGGTTCGGTTCGAACGGTTCAACGGTTCTGACCGATTCACTAATAACGGTTCAATCGATTTAGATTGAACCAAACTAAATAACGATTCTCAGTTGAACCGATTAAACCGGTCGATCCGATTTTCAAAACAGAGCCTCTAAGAGATGACAATAAGTTAGTCAAACAGAATCTGAAGTCAGACAAGTTGTCATGTGAGAAACACCAATCCCATGACTAAACACAACGATTAGTGAGTATTTTATTTCAATCAAAAGCTTTAAATTCTTGCCACGTGGCGATCTGGTGTTGGCCTTTCCCGTTTTCTTTGCTTTCCTCGAAAGAACACAAGGTTTGAAAATGTGGGATCTTTGTGGATTTGTGTGTATTGGAATTAGGAAAAGGTGATATTGGATTTTTAAAGTTGCCTTCCCTCATCATTCTTCTTTTGTGTAGTTCCAAGTTTTGGTCCACACACCAAGGGCCTTTTCTCAGTGCCTATTTTGTGGTGTACTTATTCACCTTTCTATTGTAAAGATAAAATAATAATTTATTTTTAGCGTTATTTTTATATTACCATTAATTATATTTATTTATAATATTTAATTATTATAATATTAATTTTATAGATATAAAAAATTAAAAAATATAAAAAATCCGAAAATTTACAAAAAAAGTTAATAAAATTATTTATCTAATTTTAATGTATTTTATCTATTTTATAATTTAATATATTTTAATTAAAAAAAAATGTGGTGCAAACTATAATGCTGCGTTAGATGTGACGTGACAGTGTAGCATATCTCTACTGTAGAGTAAGATTTGGCGCAGATCTCTACAGTGCCAAAATGCGCTACAGTGAAGTAGCGTTGGAGATGGTCTAAATGAAAAGTGTAAGCATTTGTAATTTTGTATGCCTCTTATTTACATTTTTTAGCCCTTTTGATTCAAGAGTTTCGTATTAACTAATTTAGATCAACCTGAGTCGTATATATAACTTTTGTAGTTGGGTCTTTTAATGGACACTTTTTACGTATACAAAGAATCAAACTTGAGATCAACTTTTTAAACAATAAAAATTGTACACCTGACGTTGTATGCGTTCTATTTTTTAATAACCACCCCTAATGCTCTTTCCACAAAAGAGATACCTTGGGTCGTTGGCCCAAATTTCAAAGGCCCATTTTGGTTGAGAGAAACAAAATTAGTCATTAAAATGTTTAAAATTAAGCGTCTTTCTCATCCATTCATTTCATCGTCATTCTCTCTCTTACGTCTCCGCTCTTTCCTTTATATTTCCTTCCTTTCTATCCTTCATCTTGTCTACGCTGGTTTTTTTCCGGCCAATCGGTGCGGGATCTAGCTGATCTGTCGCCGGAACTTTCACATAGATTCCGGCGATTCCATCCTTTGGTCTTTTGTTTTATTTTTTAAAAAAAACTTTAAGCGACAATGGATCCCGAATAGTAAGTTTTATCTCTATTCATATTTGTTATTAATATTTTTATATCGTATGTTATGTTATTATGATCAGGCCTTTGTTTTTATTCGTTCTTTTCTAATCTGGTTGTATTATTCTCTTGTTGTTGGTTTGATGACGTTTGGAATTTACATGATTTCTCGAGTGGTTAAAAGTCAACCCTATAATCATGATTTCTTTGTTTCAGATCTGTTGATGAAATTGAGATGTTCTATCCTATTCTGTTTTCATCATTGTCTTATTCTGTTGGAATTTAACATGAAAAGTTAAATAATGTAATAATAAAAGTGCGATCTTTAGGTGTTCTTTGTTATGAATGCGGTATGTTATGTAAGTTAGAAGGATTTAGGAGGGAAACGGCTCTTAATTATGTAAGATCCTATAGTAAATTGTGGTATATTATGATTTTTTCTAAATAATATTTGATTTTTTGTTAACATGTTGCTAAATGGATTATTGAGTGATGTCACTTCTAATATGATTGAAAATTGAAATTCATTTTGAACTGAGCCTTCTTGATGCGCGAGTAAAATTAGGAACCAACTGATAATGGCGGCTTGGTATTCTAAGGGTTAACTCCGCACATTTAATTTGGTTTTCCGACATTTTAATGCTGACAGCTTTAGTTTGGGTTTCTGAAAAGCATCTCTGTTTGGGGACCTCTTTTGGCAAATCCAATCTTGCGTTACATATGTTAATGTTATAGCTGGAGATATTATGTTTTTGCATCATTGGAACATGTGTTGTTATTATCTGGTTGTAAATTTTGCAGTGACTATCTCTTCAAGCTTCTCCTTATTGGTGATTCTGGAGTCGGAAAATCTTGTCTTCTTTTGAGATTTGCTGTAAGCTTCTTCGCTTAAGTTGAAATTTTTTTGCTTTGTTGCACATACTTAGATGCCTTTAATGTTTCTGTTTGACATTAGACTGTGATAATGATCGATCAAAAAGTTCAACCACTTGTATCGAGAGAGTAAAATATGTATTTCATGAGATCGTTATAGTCGGTTTTGGATTCAGAATCTTGTCATTATTTTTTGTTGTATATTCGAGGTATAAAAAAGGTGAAATTGTGAATATTTCCTGATGGTTATGCAGGACTAAATCTTGAACTGGTTATTTTCTTCTTTAATGCAGGATGATTCATACGTAGAAAGTTACATAAGCACCATTGGGGTTGACTTTGTAAGTAAACAGCCCTTGGTGTTAACTTGGCCTCTAAATGCCTAAAATTATAGCAATTATACTAATTTCTTCTTGTTTAATTTTTCTTATGTGGTAGAAAATACGTACTGTGGAGCAGGACGGGAAAACCATCAAACTTCAAATTGTATGTTTTTACATTTTTTTCCCTTTAATCTGTTGCTTCGAAAAATTTCTGTTCTTAGGTTCTTCGGAGTAGTATGCCTAATAAGAGAATGAACTGTTCTTTAACCGTTTCTATGTTTTCATTTTATAATTTAGTCCTACTAAGTTGCTCGTAAATCTTGACACTTGATAACTAGATAGTTTGCTCTTGATTCATTGTACAGTGGGACACTGCTGGACAAGAAAGATTTAGGACAATCACTAGTAGCTACTACCGTGGGGCCCATGGCATAATAGTGCGTGATATTTTCCTTTCTAGATTTTCTCCCTTTTGTTATTTTTTCCTTTTTATGCCACTTATAATTTTTGAAATCTTCTTTCGTTTTTATTGCTGGCTCCTCTATTAGATTGTTTATGATGTGACCGACCAAGAAAGCTTCAACAATGTCAAGCAGTGGCTAAGTGAGATTGACCGCTATGCTAGTGATAATGTTAACAAATTACTGGTTGGAAACAAGTGTGATCTTACAGCTAATAGAGTTGTGTCCTACGAAACAGCCAAGGTATTTTCCATTATGAAATATATAGCACAAATTTCTCTCTTTTGTGTAGAACCCTGTAGGTTTATTTCAAGGAAGAGCTGTGTGTTTGTCAAATTGTAATTGTTGGTGTTTTACTGCATTCTTCGCCCTATTCCTGATTCTCTTCCTCAATGTTGCTGCTTTCTTCTTTCAGGCATTTGCAGACGAAATCGGCATACCTTTTATGGAAACCAGTGCAAAAGATGCCACAAATGTCGAACAAGCTTTCATGGCCATGGCTGCTTCCATCAAGGAGAGGTATATCCCCATAGCCTTTTTCTTCCAGTTAGCTTTAGCCTTAGCACATAATATGACAATAATGCTAAAAGGTCTCTGGTGGTAACCAAAAAAAAAATACAGTTATATTAGCATGTACAGTCGAGTGGTAGCCATTTCCAATTAGAAAAAATCGTTGAGATTGACAACTCAAACTCCTCTTTGCTACGAAATTTTTGGAAAAAAATCTTTCTTATTGATTGTCAGTTACTTTAGTGTGTTCAGCTCACTCTTTTTGACGTGGCATGCCTGTGAATGCAGAATGGCAAGCCAACCGGCCATGAATAATGCAAGGCCTCCAACGGTACAGATCCGAGGTCAGCCAGTTGCACAGCAGGGTGGCTGCTGCTCTTCCTAAAGACGAAGGTCAACGATGTGTTTCGCAAGCTCAGATTTCTTATTTTGCAGCATGCTGTGCCTTTGGTGGCGTGTAAGATTTATGTGTTTCTTAACTCGATAGATTTATTGAACTTATTTGTTGGGGACCAACCTCATTAGAGGATCTAATTCATTTCTATACGCGTGTTGATGGGAATGGCTTGTACAATGTATGTTTGTTGGTTAATATAATAGCGTTCTTTCTCAAATCTTTTTTTTTTGCCTTCATAATTGTTTTACCAACCAAATATGTCAGTTCATCAATTATCTGAGTTTTTTCTTAAATAAAAAATGGCATTTTTACCATCCAAACCCACAAATCTTTTTAGCAAAAATTATTTACAAAATAAGATTGAATAGAAATTAAGAGTTGTTTATCATACATTCTTAGATATTCGAATGACGCTTTCTTATCAATTAAACTTGGTTTAAGGTAAGCCCATAACTAGAAGTTGTTTATCAATCAAGCATGTGTGTGTGTGTGTTTTTTTTTTTTGAAAAGAAATATTATTTTAGTCATTATTAATATTATATACTGAATTCGATTTTGAACAATTTTATTTTTCATAAAAAAAGAAAAATGGAGACCTAACCAAGTATTGAAGGCCCAAAAACTTTCGGGTTGGCCAGATGAGTTGTCAAGTTATCCAAATAGATCTACAAACTGATCCATCGACAGATCGAGAAAATTCCCTCTCGGTTCAGTAGAAATTGTGTTCTTTGTATTCGTCGAGAGTTCTGAATCAAAACAGAGAGGAAGTAATGGCGGCGGAGGAAGAAAGCGGAGAGTTTTACCTGCGTTACTACGTGGGTCACAAAGGGAAATTCGGGCACGAGTTTTTGGAGTTCGAGTTCAGGCCAGACGGTAAGCTCCGTTATGCTAACAATTCCAACTACAAAAACGACACCATGATCCGTAAAGAGGTCTTCCTTACCCCCGCCGTTCTTAAGGAGTGCCGCCGCATCATCTCCGAGAGCGAGGTTCCTTTTCTCTTCAACACTTTCCCATGTCATAAATTTGCATTTTAAAAAAAAATTCAATTCTTTCCTTCTTACCAAACTGAATCTTAGGGTTTTCTAGGAACACCGGCGAAATTAATATGCTCTTTTGTATTGGAAAAATCAAATTTTCTGCTTTTATCTTATTTAAATTGCTTCCTTTTTCTAGCTGGATTCTAGTGTAGGCAACGAAACCATAACGATTTTATCTTCTTGGTTGATAAGTTAAAAGATTTAGTTTTTGAGTGATAATTGATTATTTCTCTCATTTATGGTAGCTTGGGATTGATGTAGTGGTGGGGTTTCGTATATGATTTTGTGTAGATAATGACGAAGTTGATAATTAATCATCCTATTTGTACTGGAAAATTACATTTTGTTTTTGGGGTCAATTTATGAATTTTTCTGTTTTTAGCTTCTCTAGTTTCTCCAAGGCTGGATTATTGTCTTGGTAAGCAAAGCCATGGCCACATTATGTTTTTGGTTGATAAATTTGAAGATTTAGTTTTAGTAGACAATCGACTATTTCTGTGATTTATGGTAATTTGGGGGTTCATGCATTGCTCAGTAGACTGTAGAGCTTATTTTATGTGCTTGGCTTTATGAGTGTAGATAATGAAAGAAGATGATAACAATTGGCCAGAGCCTGACCGTGTTGGACGGCAGGAGCTCGAGATTGTGATGGGGAACGAGCATATCTCCTTCACGACTTCAAAGATTGGGTCCCTTGTCGATGTTCAGAGCAGTAAGGATCCTGAAGGTCTTCGCATATTTTATTATCTTGTTCAGGTCAGTAAGTTCACACACACTACACAGTATCTTCTTCATTCATTGGATGCTTGGCAATTGGAACCCTACCGGACTTGGCTTACCTCACTCTTATTGATTGCCATTTTATGTTAGTGCAGGACTTGAAGTGCTTTGTTTTCTCTCTTATTTCACTCCACTTCAAGATCAAACCTATTTGAAGAATGAATGATGATATTTAAAAACCCTCTGCCATGGAGATGATCGGTATTTCTGCTTTTCAATATAAACTTCCATTTCCGTTTTACGTACGTTCTCATCGCGATCCTTAAAATGGATGGATGAGCGTCTATTGTATGGTTGTGTTGTTTTGAGTGATTTTGTTGGAAGTACATGGTATCACTATGTTCTGTTATGAAAGCTTTTATTAATGTACTTGTTTGGTTTTTCGTGTTCCAAATCCATTACAATAACTACGAAAAAGCTTGATTAAGTAATCACTTTGGTATCTATTCTTTTTCTAGAATATTTCAACCTCGATATTTCATTTTTGAAATAAAAGACCCTTTGTAGATGAAAATTACTAGTTAACACTCGGTTAATGTTTCAAAATAGAATTCTTTTTTTGTCTTAAAATTAAATATTGGGGTCACAATATTTCAATAAAAATAAATGATCAAATGTTAGGAGATTTTTTGTCACAAAATGTTCTAAAAAAGTGTGTCAAAAATAATTATTGAATTAAACGTTAAGAGGTTTTTAAATGTTATGCTTAACAACAATACAACTAAGTTCAAATTTAATCCATCTTTGGCTTGTACATGCCTTGACTAATTAAAATCTCAGTACAAAATCCTTAAGAACTTGACAGTTAAGCAGACTGTCCAAGAAAAAACAAGCTTCCAGCTCTGTAGATTCTTACAACACATGAAAAATATCTCCAAAAGAGTAGGACCCAAGAATTTACAAACAGAGATTTTCCCACTCGTAAATATGTAATCACATGATGGACATGGGAAATGCCATCATCAGCACAACAAGAACAGTAGGCATCAACAGGGTAATAACCTGAAAAATCTCAGGAAAATGACACTAATCCCCCACAAACGAACCACCTTCAAATTTCTTTTCCCTATCGGCTCTTTAAAGCTGAAGTTTGGAACTTTAATAATCATTCATTCCCCAACTCAAAATCCCACACGTTTGGTCCAAAAATCTTCTTTTTTTCTTGAGGTATGGCAGAGCTAGAGAACCCAAATGTGATGCCAAATCTCATAACGTTTCTGTCTCCTCTTCAAAAAGTGGCTGAATCCAATGATGTAAACCGTGGGTCTTGGGCTCAGAAAATTTCAGTGATCCGTGGCCTAAGTCGGCCAACTATCTCAATCCAAAACTACCTCGACAGAATCTGGAAGTAAGCAAATTGTAGCCCCTCTTGTTTCATCGTTGCATATGTTTATCTCGATCGATTTTCTCAACGGCAACCCTCGTTGCCGGTCGATTCTTTCAACGTTCGTCGGTGGCTCATTACGAGTGTGATGGTTGCTGCAAAGTTCATGGATGGCTTGTAAGTTCCTGAACTCCATTTTTACATCTACTTTTAAAAGTAATGCTCTAAAGTGATCCTAAATTAACTTGATCTCGAACTTCAGGTATTACAACAATGCTTACTATGCAAAAGTAGGAGGAATCAATACAATAGAAATGAACATGTAGGAATTAGATTTTCTATTTGGATTGGGTTTCAAGTTACGTGTAACCCCCCAATACCTTTCATGCTTATTGGTCCTACCTGCGAAGAGAGATGATGTTGCAACATCATCCTCCCATCAACAGCAACAATTAGCTGTTTAAGGTCTTTTACTTTTTGATGTGTTAGATCTGAATGCAGGTAGATGCAACAAAGACGATGATAGTGAATTCACTATTCTGTGCTGCCAGAATGAACCCATGTCACATGTATTCTCTATTTTTCTTCTTTTGGTTTGTTGTGTTTAATTTATTTTTATTTTGGGCTCAAGTGCCTCAACTTGTTTATGTATTATGTACATATGGGAGCTTCTTTCATTACAGTCTGGTTATCAATGGCTACTGTTTTTTTAGGTTCATGATTGTGGCTTTACAGTGGCGAGAATTGATGGAAGGTGCTAGGACAATCACATTTAGGGATGGCAATGGGTCGGGTCGGATTTTTGGGTCACCCGACCCGACCCGACTCGACGAAATTAAGGTTTCACCCGACCGACCCGACCCGAATATATGACTTAGAAACCCGACTCGACCCGAAATAATAAAAAAAAATATATTTTTATTTAATAAAAACAGTGACTTAATTGAATATATATATATATATAAAGGGGTATTATTGTAATTATCCCTAAATATATAGGGTAAAATTATATATATTTTTCGGATCGGATCGAGTCGGATTTTTTCCACCCTAAACCCAACCCGACCCGAACAGTGCATTTAAAAAAAAAAACGACCCGACCCGAACCCGATTTTTTTTAAAAAAAAATCCGACCCGATCGGGTCCCGGTTGAGTTGCCATCCCTAATCACATTCTTTGTTCTTAGGTGTTTTCTTTTTAGTGATCCTGTGTTACATTCTCGACATTTTATAATTTTATATTTCTAAATTTATAATATAACTTTTAAATTTTTAATACGTAGACACACTATTTATATATATATATATATATATATATATATTACATATATATATATATAAATTATTTTCGTTTTATTAAAACAACATTTACATTTGTTTTTAGGTCCAACAGTGGCCCAGTACAGTAGCCCGCGTAGAGGATTAGGGTTTCACCCTGTTTTATGCTTCCAGCCGCCGCTCAATGACCGTTGGATCTAGGTGAGATCCAACGGTCCACAGCAGACCCATCTAGGGTTTCATCTTGTTCGAGACCTAGCCCGTTCCAGCGCCGTTTTTTACACCACATGTCCCAGTCAGACTCCCCACGTCTCACGCCTCTGGCCACGCACACAATGGTCACCGGATTTCACGACAACCACCAACAACATGCAAGGATCTCGCACAGTCAATAGGCAAATATTAGAGTCCTATTAGGATTCAAATAGGTCCAAAAAGAGAAAATCGAGGCTATAAATAAATGTAATCAAACCCATTTGTAACTACGGATTGAAAGAGGAAATAAAAGCAGAAACTTTCGAAGCAAATCACGAGCATTATTCAGTCTAAACCGAGACGTTTGTTGCATTTTTGAGAAGAACAAAAGGTAAAGATCATACCTTTCTTTGTTTTGATGGCTGGCATGTCGCTCCTTTCGCGTTGTCTTTGATTTAAACCCCAAAAGAAGTATTTTTAGCCGATGAACAAGGGGCGTTTTCATGATCTACTTCCGTAGATCTAGCCCCCGAGGCTTGATTTTTTGAAAAACTATCTGGATTTTTGAAACGAGGAGGGAAATAGCTTTTAGAAAATCAATTTTTTTCGAGTTTTGCCGCCGATGGCGGCGGCGGCGGCAACGCGTCGCGGCGAGGCGGCGTAGGGTGCCGGAATCTGGGCACCAAGAGCACGGCAGCTTGTGTTCATTTGGATGAACAAAGAGAGAATTTGAGTGAGGGGGGCTCTCGACGAGAGAAGAAGAGAAATGAAACTTAAAAAAATGTTTGAGTCATATAGCCCATCGACTCATAACCCCAAAAACCTTAGATCCACGTGTTTTCTAAAGTGGGTAAATCACTCTTTCGGTCCCCTGCTGTGTTAAAAGGCCCCATTTTCGTCCCTAAATTCATTTTAGTATTGGCCCGTAATTTTTATTTTCTTTTAATTTGGACATCTAATTCTTTTTCTTATTTAATTCGACCCTTATTATTATTTATGTATATATATATTTTATTACTTAATTATTTTATTTTTAATCTATATGTATATATATATTTCATTTATTGATTTTCCTATTATCTTTACCTTTGTTATTATTATTTATATTATATTTATTATATTTCATGTCATTATTTATATATAGGTATGTAAATGTATTATTATTATTTTATTTACTACGTTTTATTATTATATTTTGTTCTGTACGTTTTTTAACTTTATTTTAGTTTCCTACTATTATCTTACTAATATTATATCTTATATATCTATTTATATTTTATCCCCTAGGCCTTTCTTTTGTCTGCATGTACTATTTTTTTATATATTTTATTTATGTTTTTTCCTTTTGATTTATTTAATGTTCATTTACTATTATTATTTTTATCTAATATTTTCGACCTTTTTAATAAGAGTTTCAACTAATCAGAGGTAAGTTTAGGGATCGCTATTTTACCTTTTAATTTAAAGTTACAATTTTCTTAATTAAAGACAACTGGAAATTATGTAGTACCGAAAGGGCAGTTTAAGGGTGCTAACCCTTCCTTGACTGTAACCGACTCCCGAATCCGACACATCTTTGGAAAGACGCAAATCAGGTAAGTAATAAGGTATCCGATCAACCCATTTATTTTTAAATAAATGATCGGTGGCGACTCCAATCCATTTTCCTAAGTCGAAGCCCAATTTCGGGGGCCCAACCGAAAGACGGTTACGACAGACTCCGCTGGGGACAGGTAAGTCAGTCTAAGGTAATTTTCATTTGTCTTTTTAACGAAAAGGGTAAGTTTAAATTTTAAGGTAATATTTCGATCCTTATTACTTATTTTTGATTATATTTTTTCGAGTAAATAGTTGGACTGACCGTTTTCTAATGATTTCAACTTTCCAAACATTTTTCATCTAAGGCTCTAAACCCGAGCTCCGAACCCGTTTTAAGTGGGGGTGAAAGCGACGCCTTCGTGTGAATTTATTCTCCGTATGGGCATAAGGGAATGTGTCATCTCGAGTTTAACTTAGTCCACACAAGCCTGTGATGGGTTTCGGACTAAGGGTCTGGTCGACCCAAGGGGGCGCCAGCAAGGAGAACTCAAGTACTGTTTTTAGAACCTAAACCGGGAGACTTTGAATAAATAGAGCCTACCCCAAAACCACATTCCAAAACCTAGGACATTTCTTTCCTAACCTTTTTTTTTATTTTTTTTATTTTTTTAATTTTTTTATTTTTTTGTCCTTATGTTTTTTTCCTTTACCATTTATTTTTATTTATTTTCATTTTACTAACTTTTTTGCCTTTGTGTTTGTTTTTAGCATTTGCATCATAACAAGAGGCCATTGATCCCTAAAAAGGTGTTTATTAAAACTCAAATAATATGAATTCATGGACAAAGGTGTTGTAATACAAGATTGAAAACGCTGAGGCACGACTATGGTCCGAGAAGACTCAGAGTGAAAAGGGAGACAGTCTTCAAGGAAGCTATGTGTCAGAGTTGGTTCGCTACACCCCTATCAGCCTAAAACAGAACAATGTACAAGAGTTTCGAGACATCTGGGACAGTTGGAAGAATGATCGGAGACAGAAGTTCAGCCAACGG